TTGTTTTTTGAGAGGGTCTCACTATGTAGTTGAGACTGACCTGGAACTCACTATGTAGCCCAGGCTGGTCTTGAACTCAGCGATCCTTCTGCCTCAGCCTCCCAAGTGCTGGGATTACAGGCATTCACCATATAATATAAACATTTTAAAAGTACTAAACTTTGTAAATTTTTCTGTTTAAGAAGGATTTTCTTATGTTTGTACCTATACTAGTTTAATGTGGAAAATTAACCTTTTATTAGTTATACTAATTTTGTACTATACTAATGGTAGTTATACTAAATAGTATATAGAATGAAAAGAACTTAATTTTAGGATTTAGACAGACCTACCTCTTAATAGAGATACTTGTTATGACTAAGATATTGGTTGAGTTGCAAGATATTTCTAAACCTATCTGTAAAATAAGATGCAATACTTTAGTACTGTTGTAAGAACAAAATGCAATTGTAAAACATTGTATAGCATCTAGAAGAGTTTGATAAGTAAAAAGCACTCTCGTGAACCCCTGATTACACTTTTTAATTTTTAATTTTTCATCTTTTAAAATAACATTTTAGCAGTTTTTTTTTAGTATCTTTTGGTGATATATACTGCATATATTCATTGTGGGGAATTGGTACATTTATATATCACATCCTAGGTATTTTTACTTCCCCATCTCCTCCCCTGATTACAGTTTAAAAATTTTAGTTGACAGTATTTTATTTGCTAAGCCTGATTCTTTATTCCTAAGGTTGAAGAAGTTTTATGTACTTCTGCTGAGTGAGAGTCATCTTCTTTTTTTCATATTTGCAGTCCTGGGGAATGAACCCAGGCCCTTCACACTGAGTTACATATTTTATTTAATTTATTTTTCATTTTTAGAGAGGCTCTCACTAAATTTTTAAATTGTCCAGGCTGGGCTCTAACTGATTTTCTTTTTCAGCTTCCTAGAATCCTTGGATTTCAGGCATGAGCCACCAACTTTGGCTGAGGCATCGTCTATTTTTATGCATATTTTTACCACTAAGTACTAAAAGAGCTGAGGGTCACTTTACTACTAGTAGGGAGTAGGGTTAAATTTATATGTCTCAGTATCTTCATAGGTATAGATTTGTGGCCTCTGCACGTTTGATATGGAATCTTCCTCAGTTGCTTTGTTCTTTACCCTAAATAACACGAGGCATTGCCTTAGTAGCTCTGTAAATATATATGTTAAACACATTCACTTGCCAACTTGTTAATCTTTCCTTCTGATACTATGTCTATGCCTCTACCATATTTGAACCACTCTTACTTTTTTTTTTTTTTGATACCACGGATCGAACTCGGGTCCTCGTACTTGCAAGTCAGGCGGTGGCACCACTGAGCTAAATACCTGGCCCCTACTTTCACTTCTGATTTGGAGCACTGAAACAGCCTCCTAATTGTTTTCTCTGTTTGTTCCCTTCAGTCTCTGCTTAAATAAGGAGCTAGTGATCTATTTAAAATGAACATCAGATCATGTTATTTGTCTGCTTACCAACTTGCAGTGGCTAATTGTTTCATTTAGAATCAAAGCCAACATTTTCCAAGCAGTCTGCAGAGCCCTGAATGATCTGCTCCCACCCACTCAGCACTCTGAGCTCTCTTTCTACATTCCTCTCACTTCACAGGGCCTCCTTACTATTCTTCAGTCTGCCAGGCATCTCCCCTTTCAAGTTCTTTTTGTGTGAAGTTCCTTCCCCTTCAGTATCAGTATGGTTCACTCAGTCACCATGGCTCCTTTATTCAAATGTCACTTCCTTAGACTTTCCCTGGACACCTTATTTAAATTACAGTGTCTTTCTCAGGGTCCCTAATTGTCTTCCCTGTTTTATTTTTCTCCTTAGCACTTTTTCAAGATTGAACATATTATAAATTTTACTTACTTTCTTTTTGGTACTTTCTGAGTATTCCTACTGGAGTAAAATTAGTACAGGGCAGAATTTTTCTTCTTTATTCTCTGCTCCATCCTCAGTTCCTAGAACAATGCCTGGAATATAGTCAATTGGGTAGTGAGTGAAAGGAGGCATGAATTCATTACACAGATTGACACTTTTCCAGTATGGAGAATCTGCGGGCTGGCACAGGACACTCACGTGTGCTCTTTGTTCTGCCTGAACAATGTAGTACTTTTTCATTGAGATAATGCCCTCCACTCCCATTCACATCTTAGCTAAACCTTTTTCTGAGGAAATTTTTTTTTCAGGTCTTTGTCAAATTTCTATCAAATATGAGGCCTTAAAAACACTGTAAAACTTTTTTTTTAGAGGCGTGGGGATTTAGCTCAGTGGTGCCATTGCTTGCATCACAAAGCACAAGGTCCTGAGTTTGATTCCTCATACAAAAAGCAAAAGTAAACAACAGCTCTTTTTTAGTACATCTCCTGGTTATATTTTACATTTATTTGTTTAGTATTTTAATGTGTCTCTCAGTGAGACTATAAATCCCTTGAATTTAGGACTTTGACTTTCTTTTGTTCATCAGTGTATCCCTGCTGGTTGGAGTTCAGTACCAATTATTTGAATGCATGAAAAAACATTCCTTCTCTCTTTGCATCAAAAGGTTTATTTTTTACTTCTTGCTTTTTGTTGTTGTTGTTGTTGTTGTTTGTTACTAATTTTAAAAATTATTTTATTTTGCCTTTGAGTAGAAAAACCTCTATGAAACAAAATGAGTGATTTTAATCTGATGTGAGAATATATAACTGAGATAGTATTACTCTTTTTTAGGGAGATGATGATAATGTTGTTAGTTTATGCTATGAGACTATTCGTGATAACCATTCAGTATTACTTTTTTGCCCATCAAAAAAATGGTGTGAGAAGCTGGCAGATACCATTGCTCGAGAGTTTTATAATCTACACCATCAAGCCAAGGGTGAGTTACAGATGGAAATAAAAGTCTCCATTGTTAGTATGTTTGTAAGAGATAGATGGAGGGTGGAGGGTGGGAAGGGAAAGGGATGAAAAAAGAATTAAAATGTGTTATATACCTGTACCAGTTCCCCACAGGAATGTAAACAGCATGTACTGCTAACATGTACTAATAAGAAACAAAGTAATGTTAGTCTTTACATTAACAAACCGTGACTCTTTCATCATGGCTACTGCCTGCCTACTAGCTGTGCTTTTGTGAGTCTCATCTTCTATCCTTATAGAAAATGTGTTCACACACACTCAAGGTAATCATCTTCAGAGTTGAAGAGTGTTGTGCTTGTACAGGTATTTACCAGTATCCTTCATTTGGGATCTAAGGGCTTTGAGAGGTAGATTTTTGGAGTTCCTAAATTGTGCACCAAACTACATGTGTAGTATACCCCACCCCTGGAAAGGGGTCCCATCTTTCTTAACATTTCCAAGGTGTGACCTTGAAAAAGAATCTTATGTACATAGGTGTGTGTGCATATTCACATATATTCATATGTATTTTAGAATCACTTCTATCGAGATATAGTTTATATATAATGCATCCTCTTTAAGTATATAATTTGATGAATTTTAACAAATGCACACATCCATTTCACCATCTCTATAATCATCACTGTAATCAAATGCATAGAACAGTTCCATCTGTTCTTTTGGTGTCAGCCTCTTTTACGTTGGAACTGTCACTTTTTTCTTTTTTTTTCCCCAGTTTGTTTCAGCTAATAAAATATTTTATAGTTAAGACTGATTGATCTAGTTCAAATTATATCTGAATTTAGAGAATGTGAAATTCCTTGTTATTACTATACAGCTTGTAATTTTTAAAATTTTTTTGTTTGTTTTTTTGAGACAGGTCTCACTATGTCATTGAGACTGACCCAGAACTCACTACATAGCCCAGGCTGGTCTCGAACTCACAGCAATTTTCCTGCCTCAGCCTCCCGAGTGCTGGGATTACAGGCATGCGCCACTGCGCCCGGCATCACTATACAGTTTTAAAAAAATTTTATGAGTTATTTTTACCTTAAGAGATTTTATATTCTAAAACAGTGTAGTTAATGTGGATGTTTCTGCCATTTTACTTGTGTCTCAGAAACTAACAGTTTTGTGTAAATGAAGTCATACAGCATATATGTGTTATATGGCTTCTTTCACTCAGAATGAGGTTCACTGATGTTATGTTTATAATTTGTTCCTTTTTAATTGCTCAATGGTAACTCAGTGCATTGCTGTAACCATTAATATATATTTGTACTGATTCAAGGATGAACATGGTTGTCTCAATACCTTTTTGTGTTTGTTTTTTGGTACTGGGGATTGAACTCAGGACCTTGTGATTGCGAGACAGGCAGAGGAACCTCTGAGCTAAATACCTGGCCCATCAACACTTTTACTAACTAGACTGTGGTCCTTTGGAGTCTAAGATAAATACAGGGAAGACAGACCAGTTGCAGTTCCAGAACATTAGCATATTTCATTATTTCTTTCTGTCAGTGGCATCATGATGGCTGGAATAGATAGCTCAAAGTAAACTTTGCCTAAAGTTTATATTGTTTAGACTCTGGTCCAGTTGTATTATCTGTCCCAGTTTTCTCTTAATTGATGCTCTATCTACTATGCTAACTTGTACTTTTCACATTAAACCATGACAAATCATTCTTTAATGACCAGAATCATTTTTTTTTGAAGTTTTGTTATCTTGATCTATAACTGTGACTCCCAAATGTTGATGCTCCAACTGGAGCCTGGTCTATGATGAAATTTCTACCAGAATAATAAAGGTAAAGCAGCACATTTTTCATACAGCTGAAGTTTAAATTTTGAGATTATCTCCCCTGTTTTTTTTTTTTTTTTTTTTTGTACCAGGGATTGAACTCAGGACCTTGCACTTGTAAGGTAGGCACAGTGCCAATGAGCTAAATCCTTGGCCTCCTACTACTTTTTTTAAAATGATAAAATGACTTCTGAGATAAATATATTAATAGGAATGGCAGTTTGAAAACATTTTTAGTTATCCTTAGCAAAATAAAACATTGGCAACCCTCTGTGTTTTCTCAAAATTTTAAGAAAAGTTTATTTAAAATTTTTAAAAATATAAAATATGTAATTGTAAAATATGTAAATGTAAAATGTAAGGTGTAAAAAATATATTTATATATATATATACATATTTTTGTTTGTTTGTTTGTTTGTTTTTTGAGACAGGGTCTCACTATGTAGTTGAGACTGACCTGGAAATCACTACGTAGCCCAGGCTGGTCTTGAACTCACAGTGATCTCCTGCCTCAGCCTCCCGAGTGCTGGGATCACAGGCGTGTGCCACCATACCCAGCTTGGTGTAAAATATATTTTATGAAAATTTTTATAAGCTTAGAAATTTAAATATCTGAAAATCTTTTGGGAAGAATGGGAATTTCTTTAGGAAAACAGTTCCTGCATTTAAGAAAATTTAAGGTATCGGAGAAGTTTACAGAGAGGCAAAACTGAAAGGCAGTGCATGATTATCAGATTAGTGTCATAGAGTCTGGAAGGCTGTTCCAAGAAAACTAGGCTTCAAGGTGATACTGATACTGCTGGTTTGTGGGACACACCTTGAATAAAGGTTTTGATTTTTAATCTTTGAGTAGTAATTAGTTTCTGTAATCCTCTTTCTCCTACAGCAGGTCCTCCCCTGTCCCTTGATAACATCCTAATATAGAATATTCTAAACTGTGTTGGAATCAGCTGGGAAGACTGAAAAATTGTTTAGGTACAAGTCATACCCCATTCCAGGTATATCACAGCATCTGGAGATGAGTATTTCAATATGCAGTGGTTTCTAAACAATTGCCTTGGCATTTTCTCTGTCATGATTTAGGCATATAGCACTTAAGAGGTGAACAGTGTTGAGGTATTAATAGTTTTGTGTGTGTGTGTGTGTGTGTGTGTGTGTGTGTGTGTGCATCAGTGACAGGATTGGCAAAACCATCTGAATTTACACCACCGATTCTGGAAGAAAAGAGCCTCTTGGAAGTAATAGATCAATTGAAACGTTCACCTTCGGGTCTGGATTCTGTGTTACAAAAAACTGTGCCATGGGGAGTAGCATTTCATCATGCAGGTATTCTATATTATAATCTGTTATCAAGAAGCCCTCTAAAAATTATCTGTTTCTTCATTTTTACATTTATTTCCTGTTATGATTATGCTTCATAATCTTAAATTTCATTTTAAGAAACTATGGTTGTTAAACAAGAGTAAAACAAACATATTTACTTATCTGTGTAGTATATAGATACTAGGTAAAGGCTTTTTTGAATTATTGGGGAAGGGAATTCTAAAATTGTTAACTTTATTTATTTTTTTCTTAAAATTTAGGCTACTCTAATTTTATGCTATACTCGGTGTCTCCTTTTATTACAAGGAGTAATCAGATATTCTCACCGATATGTCAAATGCAAATTTATTTTAGAAATTGTGATATTACATTTGGAGAGAGCTAAAGTATTTGAAAATCAAATGAATAGGTTGTCAAAATTGCAAAAATTTTGACAGTCATTGAATTAAAGAACTTTTCCCAGGAAGTGTTCAGTCCATGGTCATATGTGCTAAGGATATAATGAAGAAGATTTAGTTTCTAATGTTAGGAATTTAATCCTTTCAATTTATTTTAATTTATTTTTCAATTTATTTTAAATTTTTATTGCTTCATATGTGTGATCTATTTCATGATAAAAATTTAAAATAAATTTAAGAATATACACACCAAAGAATGGGGTTAGCAAAGTAGTATGCTGGTTGAAGCCCACCATCTGTTTTTGTGAACAGTTTTATTGGGACACAGTTGTGACCCTTTGTTCTGTGGCTGTTTTATGTGACATTTTTGTTTATAGTCACACTGTAGCTTAGAAAATCTTGCAGCAGACTCACATCTACTGGTAATTGGTCAAATGTAATATGTTCATTGTATGTTAATACATATTTTGGAACCTCTTATTTTTAGGTCTTACTTTTGAGGAACGGGATATCATTGAAGGAGCCTTCCGTCAAGGTCTCATTCGAGTTCTGGCAGCAACTTCTACTCTTTCTTCTGGGGTGAATTTACCTGCACGTCGTGTGATTATTCGGACTCCTATTTTCAGTGGTCACCCTCTTGACATTCTTACTTACAAACAGATGGTTGGTCGTGCTGGCCGGAAAGGAGTAGACACAATGGGTGAGTTGAGTTTAGTTGTCATTGTCATTGGACATTTAGTTGTCAAAGGACATTGTCATTGTATTTGAAATTTGACAAGTACCTGGCAACCTGTATCTCATGTGCTACATACTTCTATTAACAGTGTACTGATGTCATCATTTTGTTGTGTGTTTTTTTTTCTTCTCCGTGTTACCGGGGATCAAACTCAGGACCTTGTACTTGCTAGGCAGGTGCAACACCACTGAGCTAAATGCCTGGCCCCACGTTATCATTTTGGAGTCACTTAATAGTTACAGTGAGCGTAAGTTGTAATGTTCATATATTGTTTACTATTGGTTTTCTACTAGTGTAGGATTAAAATTTTCTTTTTGATACAATGAAATGATTCAGTTCTTATAAATGAAGATGACTTCTTACTACATTTGTTGGGTGATGATTTTTAATTTCCAGGTATAGTCCGCTCTTTAGGACTATTTGATTTTCATCCACATTAGTTCTGTTTAGGCGACTGGTCTCAGAGGTCAGACTGGGATGCTAAGAACTGAGAGGCTTTCTCATATTTTGAGAATGAGAACATCATATACCATCTTTTTTCACTCCAAATTAGTGCTGGTCTTGAAAATACCTTTTCAGTTTCTTACCTTGTACCAGAAAGTAATGATGATATTATCAGCAATCCAAACAAAAGTTTTTGTTTTTGTTTTTTGGTACCGGGGATCGAACTCAGGACCTTGTGCTTGCGAGGCAGGCAGCAGAACCACTGAGCTAAATCCCCAGCCATCTTTTAAAATCTTGAAAACATTTTAAGCAGTCTGAAAAGCACTTAGCAAAAGTGTAAGTCTACATATGGCATATTATCTACTCCAGTATAAATTTTTACTTAGGAGAAAGTGACTGTAAACACTCATTATTTTACAACATGCTTAGACTATCCTGACTTCCTTTCTTCTGAATTGTGACATTACTGCAGTTGTGCTTTACAGACGGTAGGAGAAGTTGCAGAGCCCCACAGTGTGGCAGAAAGCATTGCTTGGATCACTTATGCAGAGGACTAACTACCTGATGTTCATAGGAGGCAGGCTCATGGGATGCTGAGAACTGGAATCCTGAGTTCCTTAGATCAAAAACAGGAGGTGGGGAAAAGGGAAGAGAGGGAGAGAAGCAGGGATCCAGTTAGTTCAGTGCACTGTTTGGCTACTTTTTGTGTGTGTGGTACCAGGGTATTGAACTCAGGCCTCAAACCTAGCTCACTGACACACCAATTCTTCATATGTTATAGTCTTTACATAAATAAGACCAGAGCACTCATTACCTGGCTTCGGAAGTAAAGTGATTTCTTACTTTTACATAAGTGCCAAGACAGTGTAAGGAATAGCATTTAAGATTCAGTGCTCTCAGATGCAGTTTTCTTTTGTTTTTATGACTGATTAATATTCCATCATGTAAATATGCCACATTTTTTATGCATTCACTCATTGATTGTTGACTCTATAACTTGTTTATTCTGAAGTGTGCTAGAGTAGACATGAGCATTTAGATATCTCTTTAACATATCGATTTTAAATCCTGTGAATATATACCAAGAAATGGGCTTGCTGAATCATATAGTAACTGTTTTTTTTTTGAGGAACCATGATAATATCTTTCATATTGGTTATATTAATTTACATTTACACCAATGGTACAGAAGTTCTCTTGCCAATATTTGTTATCTTTTGTCTTGATAATAGTTATTCTAACAGATGTGGTGGGGCCAGGATTTAACTCAGTGGTTCCGCTGCCTGTCTCTGACAGATGTGTCAGCTCCTTCACTGAGACTTAACATTTGCATTTAATGATCATTTAACATATCTGGTGGCCATTTGTACATCTTTTTTTGGGGGGGGGGCGGTCAGTACTGGAGATGAAACTCAGGACCTTATGCTTATGAGGCAGGTGTGGTGCCACTGAGCTAAATCCAGAGCCCTGTATATCTTCCTTTGAGAAGTATCTATTTAGGTCCTATTCCCATTTTTGTGGCAAGGATTACTTGTTTTCTTGCTATTGAGTTGAATTCCTTACATATTTTGGATATTACCTTCTAACCATATGTAGTATGATATGCATGTATTTTTTCCACATCTGTGAATTATCTCTTCACTGTTTTCTTTGTTGCACAGAAGCTTTTTTTTCTTTTGGTTTTAAAATTTCTTTGTACAGGGCAGTGATTTAGCTCAGCGGTTCGGTGGCCTGCCTCGCAAGTGCAAGGACCCGAGTTCAATCCCCGGTACCAAAAAAAATAAAATTTCTTTGTACATATTTGCCTTACTAAAAATCACATTCATCAAGGAATTTCTACCTGTACATAATATATCTTTATTTCTGTTTTTTTTCCATTTCCTTTCAACCTTTCTTCCCCTCCCATTTACAAAAACTTTTGTTTTTGTTTTTCCTTTCATTATCCTTTTTAAATCACTTTCCCCTTACTTCCCTTCCCCCTCTCCCTTGTTCCCCTTCCCATTTAAACATGTTATTCCTACTTCCCAGTATCTATCCTCATTTTGCTCCTCACTAACCCTTTGGATTTCTCACACAAGAGAACAAATGCAATATTTGAACTTGTGTGTCTGACTTAACTTCACTTAAAATTCTGTTCTTGGCCAGGGATGTAGCTTAGCAGTATAGTACCTGCCTGGTAAGTGTGAGGCCCTGAGTTTGATTCCCTGTCTGAAAAAAAAGTTATGTTTTTGAGGTGCATTCATTTACCTAAAAACAGCTCAAGTTTAACCTTCTTTATGGTACAGTATTTACACTATTATGTGTAAATACCACATTTTCTTTATTCATCTGTTGATTGGTATATGGGCTGTTTCCAAGACTTGACTACTACAAATGGTGCTGCTATAAACATGGAAATGTATATTTTTGCTGTGATATATTTTAAACTCTTAGTAAGATACCTAAAAGGGGAATAGCTGGGTCAAATAGAACCTCTAGTTGTAGTTTCCTCAGGAATCACCATACTGATTTCTGTAGTGGTTGAACCATTTTATAATTTCACCAGTAATGGAGATAGGTTCCTTTTTCCATATGCCTATTTTTTGGACTGGGTCTTTAAATTGGAGGGTCTGATTTTTTTTTTTTTTAGTTCTTTATATATTCTAGATATTAGTCCTTTATCTGAAGATTAGCTGGTGAAAATTTTTACCCATTCTGTGGGTTGTCTCCTCGTTCTATTGGTAGTTCCTTTTGCTGTGCAAAAACATTTTTTTTAATATGATGTGATTCCAATTATTGATTCTAATATTTCCTTTGCAATTGGGATTTTGTTTATAAAGTCTTTGCCTATACCTATCTCTTCATGAGCTTTACCTATTGTGTCTTCCAACAGATTGTTTCTGTTTTTATATTTATTTTGATATTCATTTTGATTTTAATTTAGTGCCTGGTGAGAGATTTGGGCCTAGGTTCAGTTTTTGGCATGTGGAGAGCTAATTTTTCCAGCACCACTTATTAAAGAGGCTATCTTTCTTATAGTGAAGGTGTTTGGCACCTTTGTCAAAGATAAGGTAGCTGAGTGTGTTTGAAGTTGTTTTTGCATCTTCTGTTCCAGTGGTGTTCAGGTCTTTTGTTTTTGCCAATACCATGCTGTTTTTTTGTTTTTTGGGGTTTTTTTTTCACACTAGGCTTGCAGTATAATTTCAATTTGGGGATTGTGATGACACCTTTTTTACCTTTGTTGCTCACAATGCTTTTGCTATTCTAGGTCTCTTCTGGTTCCAAATGAATTTCAGGATTGTTTGTGCTATTCTTGTGAAGTATATTACTGGTATTGTGATTGAGATTCCCTTAAATCTGTATAACAGTCCTGGAAATATGGCCATTTTCACTATATTGGATCTGCCTATTCAAGGTGATATCTTTCTATTTTCTGATTGAGTTTATTGGTACAATCTGGGTATACAATACAGTTGCATTCATTATTGGGATCCTGTACCTTTACATGATAGGTCTTCATTCTCATTTTTTCCCCTTGTCCCTGCCCTCCCTTCACCCCCTCTTCCCCTCCCCATTTACAAACACTTTATTTCCATTTTTTCAGTTTCTCATATTTTTTTCCTCTCCCTTATTACCTTTCCCCCACACTTCCCACTTTCCCTACACCTTTAGCCCTTTACTTCCTATTTCACATTATTATCTCATTAGGATCTTGTGTACTATTATAGTTTTTCATACCAAAGAAACTATTTGGTATTTCAGTTAAAAAAATCTCTGTATGAACATTAAAAATAGGGAATCCTAAAATAAATCTAAAAAGGAAAGTAAAAGAGAAAAGGCAATGATGTAAAATTAAAATAATCCTTAATTCTGAAGATGAAAATGGTCCTTGAACATATTTAAGTTGAATCTTGCTCTTGTAGTCTTATATTATTCTTGTTTTTCATTTAGAGAATACTTTATTTTCTGTAATCAAACCCACATAGATATGACCTTACATATTTAATACAGTGCATTACCCCAAGTAAAAGAGAAAAGGCAATGATGTAAAATTAAAATAATCCTTAATTCTGAAGATGAAAATGGTCCTTGAACATATTTAAGTTGAATCTTGCTCTTGTAGTCTTATATTATTCTTGTTTTTCATTTAGAGAATACTTTATTTTCTGTAATCAAACCCACATAGATATGACCTTACATATTTAATACAGTGCATTACCCCTGTAGAAATGGAAAAAAAAATATAAGCACACTCCATTAAAAAAACAAAAACTAAAAAACAAGGAGAAGAATAATACCCAGAAAACAGCAAAATTCTGTTGCTGCTGTGATACCTGGCATGATTTTTTTTTTATTAGCGTCTTAATCATCATCTGGAGAGAGAACATTCTAGAGTAACATCATTAAAAATAGCTCTGATAAAGCACGGTCACTACTATGTATTATAAGGCAGGTACAAGATATTTTACATTCACAGAGGTATGATACAGTCCTGTCCTGCATCTATAATACTAGAATCAGTTTTGGTTTGAAATTTACAT